GACAGAGGTCTTCAGATGTAGATTAGTGACAGAATACCTGCCTGGGAGCACCAGACCCTGCCAGGATTCTGTCTTCCATGCCAGACGGTGTGTGTGGTGGTGGGCGGGGCTGGGGAGATAAAGAAACTTAACTTTCAAAGAATAAAAACTTGAAAAAAAATTCTACGTACTCTCAGTGAATTTTTCGTATTAGATGGAAAGCAGGCACCATACGGGAAAGGAGACTTCCCCTTTTCTGATTTGGAAATTTTATGCCCTAATAGTGAATTTTAATTAAAGTTTCATATTGGCTTATAAAATTGGGTGTTTTTTTTTTCTGAAGAGGAAATGCGTATTTCCGATTGTACAGCTTATTCCCTGCTGTGTGTACATGTGTGTATATACCAGGAGTTATGTATGGAATGTGTTTGGTAAAGCACATAAGTAGTATGGGAGGTAATCCAGCCCCATGAGTGAAAATATCACTCTTTGCCTTGTTATCTTCAGAAAGGAGAGCTTCTTCGATCTCCTTTCTCCACTGGTCTCCACCCCACGGTGCTGGGTTTACAGGCATGTCCAGCCATGCCTCTCTGTTTTTTTTTAAACATTGGTGCTGGGATTCAAGCTCATGTCCTCTTGCTTTTATAGCAAGCACTCTTACCCACTGAGCTATCTCTGCAGCCCCTGATTGCATTTGTTTTTTATTTCCTTAAGGAGGGTTGTTGTCTGTTCTGCCCCCTCCCTCAATCTTAGTCTTTGCACAGCCAATATCCTTAGCAGGTCTTTGGAAATTTTTTTTTCAGGTACAACTAATGAGAAAAAAAGAACCAGAGAGGAAAGGGGAGAACTCTGCTGCCACCATGCAGAAAAGTATCAGGTAAGGTCCCTGCCTCGGTCAAGGCACTTTGCGTTGTGACTTTTCCTGGGAAGAATGAGAACTAACATAAATTAACCCCACGTAGGGCACCATTGACAAGCCAAAGAAATGATTCCACCACAGTTTAACTTAGTGAATCAGTGAGTTTATTTATGGGTGTCACTTAAAGGAAAGTTGGTGACACAAAGGCACCCGCTCACTCCAGATTCATCATGGGTGTTGACTCCTGAAAGCTGCAACCCTGGAGCTCCCTGTTTAGTCTGCAGGCTGCTCCACTGAACAGTCCCCCCTAGCAATCGTTGACCATTTATATAAACCTTGGGGAAGGGGCTTGTGAGTCTTGTAACTTTCTGAGCTTCCTCAGTGCCTTGGGCTTCCTCTTCCCTGCAAGAGGTTGTGTCTGTGTAATATGACTACCAAACTCTGGGCTTTCTGCTTCGAATCCTCATTTTCTGAGCTCTAGAGTGAGATTGAAATTTCCTATCATTGAATGGGAAGTGGGGCATTGGAGAAAGGAATGAATCAGTTACTCATTTTTAGTTGCAGGGTATTGGTCCCTAATGTAGTGGTTCTCAGCAGTTTTGCCCCCATGGGAATGTGTAGCCGTGTCTGGAGACATTTTTGGTTCTGACGATTTAGGGGTCTGGGATTTGCTTTTGATTGATGTCTAAGTGGATAAAAGTTAGGCATGCACTAAACCTCCCACAGTGCACAGGATAGCTTCAGTGCCAGCTCAAAAACCCTGTGCTAATGCAAGGTACCTTTAGGAACGTGAGAGAAAAACATACTTGATTTTCATAGTTGCACTGTACAACTGCAGCCTCGGTTAGATCCAGCAACCGAAATACTGTAATGGTTTGTCTCTGGTCAGCTCTGTTACCTTTGATGTTGTCAGCCTCAGGCTGGCTCTCCCAAGATCAGCAATCTCAGGGAAGAGAGTACCTCCTTTTTTTCTAACCCAGTAATTTCTAGAGTCAAATTTTGGCTTGGGACAATCAATGTGGGCTACAGGTGTGCAGAGCACTGCATTAATTGGTGAGGCCTGGGTCATGTGTCCATGTGTCGTAGGTGTAATGTCCTATACCGAGAGAAGCCCCAGAGAGAGGGGGGGGCATCAGAGGAAGGAGGGACTGGATACTAGCAGACTCAGACCTGGACCTCCACAGTGGAAACCCGGGAGGCACAAATCCCTGTTTACTCATGGGATAGGAAACCTGGATGTGTTCTGTCCTGGGATGACAGCTCTTTATTCAGATGCTGTGTGTGTGTGAGTGAGTGTGTTTAGAACAGAATAAAATACATGATCTTTGCCCATGCTAGGGAAGCCGTCTACCACTAAGCTACATCCCTGGTGTGTCGTTTCCCACCCACCCCCCATCCCCCAAGGTTATACAAAAGTAGAGCAATCTGCATGGCTGGGGATGGGTGTCTGGAGCTGTAGGTGGGCCTAGTTGGTTGGAACATTGGTGCCATTAATGTCTCATCCCCTGCTGGGCGTTGGTGGCACACGCCTTTAATCCCAGCACTCCGGAGGCAGAGGCAAACTCTGTGAGTTTGAGGCCAGCCTGGTCTCCAGAGCGAGTGCTAGGATAGGCTTCAAAGCTACACAGAGAAACCCTGTCTCGAAAAACTAAAAAAAAAAAAAAAAAAAAAGTCTCTCCCCTGTCAGCTCCTCCAGGTCATTTTTCCAACCCATGAAAGAGGGTAAAGCACAGAAGCCAGAGAAGGAGACAGCTAACAGCACCAAAGAGAAGGAGCCACCTCCAAAGTATGTAAGGGGACCCGGGCAGGGCATACGCCCTTAGTAGTTCTTTTGTCTGCATGTGTTAAAAACCTACTTTCGATATGTCAGGCCTCAAAATGATATTTAATTTTGATATCTGACAGCCAGAAGGCACAGCCAAGCCTAGGACTTGGGAGTTCTTGTCAGGGCTGTGTTTCCATATGCTTTGCATTCGTTCTAGACCAGACCCCGCCCACGGAGTAGAGATGCTGGCCACATTTTGATTCACAGAGTCTCGGGAGAGATGCCACGTGGCCTTGCTTGGGTAACATGATCACGCTTGGGCCAGAGCATGGATGTGAATACATTGAGTTCATAATCGCCTCATTGGGATGTTGAGCAGGAGACCTCACTTCCTTTGTCCTAGCTTCCTCATGAGTAAAAAGGTGCCTGACAGCCAACATGCTTTCTGCACGGGGTCAGTGAGTAAAGCGTGCCATTTGTAACACATTGCATACTGCAGAAAAGGCCCTCTGCACTTGTAGGAGTCAAGCTACGATGTTGAGGTCAGTCACGGTGACGAACCAGTTGCTCTGTGCAAATGCATATGACGGTTTGTTGTCTGTGACTTACTTAGGCCATGCCATGTATATTGTGTATTATTGTTCGTCAGCTTGCTTCTATTAGCATGACTTAGAGGGCTTTTTTTTTCTTTCAGGAACACGGGCTCAGTTTTTTTTCCCTCCTGTGTTGTATTCCCTTCTATGGATATGCTATAGAAGTTATTTAGCATTTCAGTTTTGGTGAATATCTAGGTCATTTCCTCTTTGTGGGTGTTAACAGTTCTACACTAACATATTTAGATTTGCTTTTATTATTTTTAATTATATGTGCCTGTAATTACGTGTGTTGTATTTCTGTTTGTCTAACATAGGAGGGATTTTACGTGGTAATTGTAAAAACGTTAACTCAGAGCTAAGGTAGGAACTTGACGTTGGGACTGGAGAGGTGATAGAGCAGTTATGAGTACAGACTGCTCTCGCAGAGGGCCGAGGTTTGCTTCCCAGCCCTCAGGTCAGGTGGCTCACAGTTACCTGTACCTCCAGCTCCAGGAGAATCCAGTGCCTCTGTGGCTAAGATAGTAGGTCTCCATATGGATTTCAGTGTCAAGCTGGTGCCTGGTCCCTGCCAAGAAATCCGTCTACTTTTCGTGACATGTTACTACCACATGGACACTCAGGATGCCTCAGGCACGGGATGGAGAAAGAGACAGAGGGAAGGCTACTTAAGGGCATATAACAGAGTCAAGTATGGTGGCACACACCATAGTGCAAGGGCTGGTGAGGAGTAGGCAAGGGTCAGGAGTTCAGAGTCAGCTTCTGCTATGTACCGAGTCTGAGGCCAACCTTGGCTGCACGGGACCATCTCATAAGAAAAGAGTGAATGCCCTGGAGGTACCCAGAAGGTGTGCTAAATGGAAGAGAAGGGAATGCAGAGTTTTTTGGGCAGTGGCCCCGTGCTGCCTGCCATGCGCTCCACGTCTCCCTCCTACCTTCTAGGGTGGCACTGAAGGAGAGGAATCGAGCAGTGCCTGAGAGTGATTCTCCAGTGTCAAGCCCTGGAAGGAAGGCAGCCCAGGTCCTAAGCAGCGAAGGGGAGGAGGAAGATGAAGCCCCCAGCACCCCTAAAGTCCAGGTAGATACAGCCGGTTTTCTTGTCTAAATTTAATTTTCGCGGGTATGTGTGGACAGCCTTGCTGTGTGAGAGGAGGTCAGAGGACGACTTTGTGGTGTCTCTCCTTCCACTTCCACATGGGTTTTAGAAATTGAACCCAGGTCTCCAAGCTTGTTGACCTTTGACAAGTTTCTTACTCAGCCTATGCAGCCGAGTGCAGTAACTGTGCAGGAAGACTCTGGGGACATTGTCCAGGAGACAAGCAATCTGCTATTGTGACTTGGAGCAGGGGGGTTGGGGTACAGGGTCCCAGTCTACCTCTTCTCTGGGACGTGGGGCTCATTCAGCCCCTTGACATCGTCAAGCCTCTGGTGCCGCCTGGAGAACAGACCTGTGGCGCTTCCTGCTTCACAGTTATCCCATAATTCTGTAGGTCAGGAACCAGGAGTGGATTATTTTATTTTAGGGTATGGTCAGGGCCGCTTTGCTGGAGCCTCTAGGGAAGATCACTTCCATGCTTCTAGAAGCCTGTTTCTCCATCTGCTGAGCCAGCCCCATGGTCTCTGTCTGTGCTTTCTGTGGTCACATTTCCTTGTGATGCTTGCGTCTCTGTAAAAAAAAAAAATAAAAAAATTATAGTCTCTGTGTGTGTGTGTGTGTGTGTGGTGTGTGTGAGTGTGTGTGTGTGTGTGTGTGTGTGTGTGTGTCCATCCCCATTCATGCCATGGTGAATAGGATCACAGGATAACGGGCAAGAGTTAGTCCTCTCCTTCCTTGCACCTTGTGGGAGATACAAGGAAGGCTGAAAATACAGTCCTTAGTCTCATGACCACACGAGCGAGCTGCAAAGGAGGCTGAGGAATGTAGAACTCAGACCCATGATTGTACTAAGTCCAAGGGAGATTGGTGGATACAGTCTTTAGTTAGGCCATGAGATGTACAGCTGAAAAAGGAAGATTCTGGTGCTTTAAGAGGCACAGTTAGCATTGTGGTCCATAGCGGAGTGAGTCTGGGACACTATAAACGTGTTCCGGTGGGTCAGATGATTGCCTAGATGAGAGAAGGTGCCCTGAGCGGGGATGAGACCGAGGAACAGAAATGACGGTAGACGTGAGAGACTGAGTCTGTTCTGCTCTCAAGCGTGTGTTAGCTGTAACCGCCAGGTGATGTGTGTATCCTCTGTATTCTAGAACTGTTTTTTTTTTTTTTTTTCTGTCTCCTTCCAGAAGTCTGTGTCAGACTCCAAACAAAGCTCTCCTCCCAGCCCTGACGCATGTCCTGAGAACAGTCCTTTCCACAGTAGCCCCTCCATGGAGATCTCCCCATCAGGATTCCCGAAGCGTCGCACTGGTAAGGACAGGCCAACTCTTTCCTTTCCATCTGTACTGCCCATGGTGCTCATCCTTCCAGTGGCCCTGATGGTGGTAGTACCATGGTGGTGAGCAGGGTTAACTGTCCCTCCTCGGCTGTGTGACCAGAGGTGTGGCTACTTTACCTGTGGAATAGGTGGTCTGAAGTACAGTGCCAGCTGCCCAGAAGGGCCAAGATTAAAGGCTGATTCATGTAAAGGCCTGACTCGGCCTACAGGCAGCACTCAGTACATGTTGGAAATTGTGATTGTCCCGGGGAATGATAGTTACCCACAGCTCTGGGTAGGAACACAAACGTGTAAGTATGGAGACTTCTAGAAGAGAGAGTAAATAAGCTGAGCCCTGAAAGGCAAAGAGAAGCAGGTGGCATAGGAGTAAGGAAGAGAATTCCAATGTAGTGTGAATGAGTTGGGAATATCTGGTTCGTTTATGTCTGGAGTTCTGGCACAGGGAACACATTTGGGGACACTGAAGAAAGAGACTGGAGAACGTCCTAGAGAATCAGCCTGAGATAGGCTGGAAGGAGAAGACTTGGTATGGAGAAGGGCCGGGTGAGAGGCCCACATGTGACCTGGATACTGTCAGCCGGCTCTGAGGACTTGTAATGTGGTGGCTTGAGAGGGGGACTTGTAAAGTTGTGGTGTTTTAATTAATGGGCATTTTGAAGCTGGGGCAAACCAGCATCCCAGGTCCATCAGATCTGAGATGCTCAACCAGTTCAGCCAGTGCAGTCTGAAGACTTAAAATTGAAAAGCCCAAACTCCAAAACACCTCTGGACCCCAGCATCTGATACATACAGGGTGTTCCACTGGAGTCAGCTTTAGCAAGGGAGGATTTTCCAGTGTTCCGTGAGCAACTCGGGTCTGGGGATCTGCTTGTCATACAGAACGCTGTCAGTTTTTAAAAACCCAAACACAGATTAAATATTCATGACAAAAACCTGATATCTGAAGTGCTATGTACATACATATAGTGTGTCAGGTTTTGAAAACTTAATGTATTCCCGTTTGTCCTTCCTTCCTTCCTTCCTTCCTTCCTTCCTTCCTTCCTTCCTGTCTGTCTGTCTGTCTTTCTTTCTCCTTTCTCGTTACTGTGACAAAATGTCTGCCAAAAGCATCTTAAAGCCAGAAGAGTTTACTTTAATTCACACTTTGAGAGTTCAGTCCATAATGATTGGGAAGGCATGACAATAGCTGTTGACACTGCATTCATGTCTGGAAGCAGAAGGAACCACCACTGGTGTTCAGCCCGCTTCTCATTTTTATACATTCCCTGTCCCCAGCCTGTAGGACGGTGCCACTCAAATTCAGGGTGCGTCTCCCACAGTTAAAACTCAACAGGAATGCCCTCACAGGCACAGAGATGGGTCTCCTAGGAATTCCAGATTTGGTCAAGTTATAATGAATAGTGAAGGAATCAGGATCGGCTCAGGACACCCCAAGACCAGCTTCTGCACAAATGAGATTTATTTGCCTCAGGGGGACAAAGGGCTCCGATAGGGGCCAAAGACAGGAGATAGAGGATCATGGAGAAGGGGAGGAGAACAAGGGAGAGGGGGGAGGGGTCTTTGTTTATAAAGGTAAAAGAGGAAAGTCCATGCTAGGATGAGGTGTTTGGTTTTAATTGGGCGTGTTAATTAGGAGAGCCAAAGGGGGCTTCTGATTGTTGGACTTCAATAGCTGGACCTTTGGTAGTCAGCCTCAGGAGGAGGAAGTGGCCAGATAAGGGAGTAGCTCTCCCTTTCCATCTTTAGCATTGTAACCTAATGGGTTTTAGCAAGGAGGCGGGAATAGGAGAGAAGGGCAGGGCCTGCCAGAGCTGTGTTTGCCAAGCTCGTGCTGACTAGAGTCCCTTCAGATAGGAACCCACGCTCTTAGCATTAAAAAAAGACTGCTTACAATTTAGAATTGAAATTGTGTTCAGATCATAATGTATGGTTAAAACTAGGTTCTCCAGTTTGCAAAAGTTTAATACCACATCTTCATTTCCCTGAATGCTCCCCTGGGTAGAGCTGGTCACTGGTGCTCTGGGAGCTCAGAAGTCAGTTGTCCATGGTGTGTAGGGCAGGGTCATAAAAGGCAAGTGGGGACTATCCCAGATAGGAGCCACATGTGCAAAGGCCCTGGGGTAGGAAAAACACAAGATATGTGGGAATTCTGACTGTGCTGTTTCTAGTGAACCCAGTGTGGTTTGAAGAGCAAGAGGCAGCTTGAGGGTAGTGTGTGGTAAGATGTGAGCTAAAGAGTGGTGGCTGGGTCCTCAAGGCTCTCAGACACCAGCTTGTTACTGTTTACTAGAACTTGTTTCCTTTCTCGAAATGCAAGAAGGGGCGGCACAGAGGTTAAGTAACTCACTCACTCCAGGTCACAGATTCAGAGCTTGAAGAATGAGCTGTTTATTGGGGTAGTGAGTGTCTGTGACAGAAAGGGAATCCGGAACCTTCCAAGTGGCCGCATTTGCGTCTCATCTCACTGGGGCAGGCACAGGTAAACCAGTGGTCAGCCACAGTGCTCCCTTTGCCTTCCCAGCTCGGAAGCAGCTCCCGAAACGGACAATTGAGGACACTGTGGAGGAGCAGAATGAGGACAAAGGCAGAGCAGCCAAGAAAAGGAAGAAGGAAGAAGGTGAGGGACCAGGGTGAGAGGAGTGTGTGTGTGTGTGTGTGTGTGTGTGTGTATGCATGAGCCTATCCATGATGTAGAGAGTGTGTGTGTGTGTATGTATGTATGTATGTATGTATGTATGTATGTATATGTACCTATCTGTGATATAGAATGTGTGTGTGTATACATGCATACACCTATCTGTGATATAGTGTGTGTGTGTATGTATGTATGTATGTATGTTTGTGTGTGTATGTACGTATGTATGTATGTGTATGCACCTATCCATGATATAGCCCGGGCACCTTGAAGGGTAGGGAAGGTGTGTGCAGTATAAGATGTTCGGACTTCCAGATCTGATATCTCAACCTTTAAGTAATATTTCACACTTGGTGGCCTATGTCTATAATCACAGCACTCAGGAGGCTGAGGGAGGAGGTCACTGTCAGTTTGAGATCCGTCTGGACCACACAGCAAGACCCTGTTTGAATATGTAGTTAAATGAATAAACATTCCATACCACTACGCAGGAGCTCATCATGAAACGTCTCTGACACATTTTTCTTGTCTTAAGTTAGTATTGTGTATAACTAATTTCGTTTTTATTTAATGGACATTATTGTTTTTTTAACCACTGCTTTGCTGAAGTTTTATTTTTTGTATTCTATTCTTGTTTATTAAAATTTATTCTTCTCTCATACAGTACATCCCGATTGCAGGGAAATTATTTTTCATAGGTGGTGAGTTTATCCAAGGATGTCCTTTGAGATGTACCTGCTACTTGGAGAGTTTCCTTGGCTAGTTTTTCATTTAGTGCCCAGCAGGTGTCGCTGTGTTCCCTTGGAGACTGGAGACAGTCAGGCTGTTGAGAGGATTCCTTTTATCTTGGTGCAGTGCAGGAAGTGCACTGGCTTGGATCCATTGATCATGGGGGCTGTCTGTGATTCCATCAATTGCAGTCTCTGACCCAGCCAGGTTCTTGGTTATGTGATAAGAAAAAAAAAAAAATAGCTCAGTTTCCCACAGCAAGTTTGAATTATTTGGTGAAGACTTGATTTCCTATTGGAAGCTTGTAGTTAGTAAAAAATTTTACTCTAAGTTCCAGATCTTAGCCATTCTGAGTTATCTCCCAAGTAAAAGGAGTATCTTTATCCTAAGGCACATTCTTCCCAAGTTAGTGTTTACTAGGGGCATAGCTTTTCAGTATGTTTTGTAAATAAAAATGTACAGGTCAGGCAGGTGCTGGGTTACTGAGTTCCGTGTCAGTATCTTGTTTCTGAAACAAGGGTTCACAAAGTTGCCCAGACTAAAAATTGAATTTACTCTGTAGTCCAGGCAGGCTTTGAACTTGTGACCTTCCTGCCTCAGACTACCTCCTAGGCCTCACCACCATTTAACTTCCCTGTCTGTCACCAGAAGCACAGACTCCAATGGAAAGCCTCACAGAGAGTGAAGATGTAAAACCCAAGGAAGAAAAGGAGGAGGGCAAGCATGCTGAGGCTTCCAAGTCCCCTGGTGAGTTGCTTATCCCCCTCACCTCAGCTTCATGATCCTGATTGGGGTGTCACTTGTCTTTGGAGGGTGGGCCTTTTAAAGCAAGGCACATACTCTGCAGCTTGGGTTCAATGTGAACTCCAAGATAATCCTAGGTTTTGTTGCTACTATCAGGTTTATTGCTTGCATGAGGAAAAAGAGGAATGCCCTCAAGGAAAGTGCTTTAGACATCATAGGTGCCAGTCAAATACAGTGAACTTAAGATTCAGAAGTGGGAGTGTCCTTGAAGGGCATGGTGCAGCTTCTGTGCCCTGGTGTCCTTGAGATCCCTGTGTCACAGGTGACATTTACAAGGACGGTTTTAAGACCTACTTAGCTCTGGTTTTCTACAAGTACAAGAAAAGTGAGACTTCGAATTGTGGTGCTGGTAGTGGAATACAGAGCCTGGCATATGCTAGGCAAGTGTTTGACACTGAGCTATACCTCAGGCCTCTCACTCACTAGTGGGTTCTAGGCAGGTGCTCTGCTACTGAGCCACACTCCCAGCCCCTCACTGGGGGATTCTAGGCAGGGGCTCTACCACTGAGTCATACCCCCAGTCCCTCACTGGGGGATTCTAGGCAGGGGCTCTACCACTGAGCCACACCCCCAGCCCCTCACTGGGGGATTCTAGGCAGGGGCTCTACAACTGAGTCTTGTCCCCAGCTCTAGGTTTTTGTTTGTTTGAGACAGGATCTTCCTATGTAGTCCAGGGTGGCCTTGTAGTTTTGCAGGCCTCCTGCCTCAGTGCCATGAATAGCTGGGATTCCAGGCAGATGGCACCCAGCTGGGTGCTGAGGTTTCTTCTTTTCACCACCATTTCTATGTCTTCTGTTTCCGCCCATGCCAGCTGTGCTTTCATTAGCACTGAGTAGTGAACATCAGGCCAGAGGCCCTGCATTTACATAGCAGGTAGAAAGGCTAGATTGGTTTGATTTTTTGCACTTCTAGGGCACAGTGACCTTGGTATCTTAAAGCCCAGAGGCAGAAACAGTTTGTATCCCCATCTACCCTTTCTCACTTCAGAGTCGGGAACCTTGACAAAGACAGAGACCATCCCAGTGTGTAAGGCCGGCGTGAAACAGAAGCCTCAGGAAGAGGAGCAGAGCAAGCCTCCTGCCAGAGGCGCCAAGACACTCAGCAGCTTCTTCAGTGAGCACATCTCTCCTCTTTGTCCCTCTGGGCTGTGCAGGCAGCAGGTTGCGGGCTCTGTTCAGGCAGTACTGGCTGGACAAGGCTTGGGAGGTGGGGACTATCAGGAGTAAGGACCCTCTACTCCCTGTCTTCCCTTGCAGCTCCCTGGAAGCCAGCAGAGAAAGCCATAGTGAAACAAGAAGAGCCAGGTACTCCAGGGAAGGAAGAGACCAAGGGGTGAGTCGGTGCCCACGTCTGAGAGACATCCAGTGCTTTCCTTTCTCCATCCCATGGCTCAGCCCGAGCATGGGCTCCCTCCTCTCAAATGGTTTGGCCATTGGTCAGTGTTTTAGACATCTTTGGCCCCTGTTGCAAAACCTTAGGATGCAGGCAGAATAAGAACTGCTCAGGGACAGAGTTTGCATCCCCATTGATTGCTTGGCCTCATGCCTGACCTCCAGCCTCCTGTCTGACCCTTAAAGGACTAGGGCACCTATGGAACACAACAGTTCAATCATGGGTTTTCTTACCTCTCCCCCCTACCCACCTGTCTAGAGTGGTTCCGCACTATCCCCAGGACAAAATCTTAAGCCCCTTTGTCCACTGATCCCCATCCAGTACTCCGTCCTCAGTTCTTAGCACTCAGATTCCACCATACCGAGCTTACCAGGTTGAGCACATGTTTTGGAAACAGCAAGCATCTTTATCCGGATCTCCTGAGAGCCTCTGTGCCAGCCCTGGGTATCTAATGGGTAGGGACCATGGAGAGCTGCTTCTCTTTCTGGATTGTGGTTCTCTGAATAGGCTGCATAGTGATTGTTTAATTGTGTTTGGGGCATTCTTTTTTTTTTTTTTTTTTTTTTCAGTCTTCCCCTTTTTTTTTTTGCAGTTTTTTTTTTTTTTATTTGAATTAGAAACAAGATTGTTTTACCCGACAATCCCAGTTCCCTCTCCCTCCCGTCCTCCCCTAACTCCCCCAACCTAAAACCTACTTATCACATATCCTTTCTGCTCCCCCTGGATGGTGAGGCCTTCCATGGGTGGGGGGGGGTCATAAGAGTCTATCATATCCTTTGGGTTAGGGCCTAGGCCCACCCCTGTGTGTCTTGGCTCAGGGAGTATCCCTCTATGTGGAATGGGCTCCCAAAGTTGTTTGGGGAATTCTTACATCACCAGTTAGGAACACAGGATTTATTGAATGGACAATCAGGTGGCTAGGTGGATAAGCATCTTATAAAGTAGTGGAATCAGACCCTATTCTTGCCTTACTTAAAACCAAATGTGGACTAGGGTTGTGGCTCAGTGGCAGAGGTCTTGTTTAGAAACAACCAGTGAGGGGCTGGGGGCGTGGCTCAGTGGTAGAGCCCCTGCCTAGAATCCCCCAGTGAGGGGCTGGGAATGTGGTGGCCTTTGGGGCTGGGTGATGGTGGCCAGGTCCAACTCCTGTTAGAAGCGTTCCTTTGAGAAAGGTAACCTCTGAGACCCAGAGTCACACGTACAATTTTGCCTCTCCTTTGCCTTCATAGAGCCCTGGATCCAACAAATTACAATCCTTCCAAGAGAAACTACCAAGAAATTGAAGATGCCTGCTGGAAACATGGCCAGAAGTACGGAGTTAGCCTTCCCATGCTGTCCTGCTTCTGTCTGTCCCTGGGGCTGTCACTTTGGCCTGTATTGGAAGAGCTGTCATGTCTCTCCCATTCCTATTTTGGGGACACAGCGCCATGGGAAGGGATAGTGGGTAGTTGCCTCTGCCGTTTGGTGTTAGCGAGGCTGTTCCCTAGGAGGGTGTGAGGAGGCAGGATGGATACAGGATGTGACGGTCTGTTCAAGAGGTTCTCACATCTCTTTTCCTTTCCTAGAGTCCCTTTTCTCGCTGTGGCCCGGACCTTTGAGAAGATTGAGGAGGTTTCTGCTAGATAATTAATTGCTCAGGCCTGGGGGCAGGTGCCCTGTGGTTCTGTCCTGAGCATGGGATTGTGTGCTGCCTCCTGCCCTGCAGTCTTTCCTTCACCTCTTCTCCCCATCACGGTCACTGTCCAGTCACAAACATGGCTCACACCATTTTCAGGCCCAGCCTCAGAAGCCCCTTAGCATCATTTCTTTTTCTTTTGGGTTTTGAGCCAGGGTCTCTTTGTAGCCCTGGCTGGCCTGGAAGTTACTATGTAGACCAGGCTGGCCTCCAACTCACAGAGATTTGCTTGCCTTTGCCCTCTGAGTGCTGGGATTAAAGGCGTGCGCCACTACGCCTGGCTACAGCATCATTTCTGACGGCATATTCTCTTGGTTTAAGTGGGTCTAGCCTGTGCCTGAAGGCTGCACGCAGCCAAGACGTGTTGTAGCTCCGCACAGAAGTCTCACACCTAATTCATTGTGAGAACTGTCTCTCACTGATTGTAACTTGGTTTTGTTGTTGTGGAGTGTGACCTCTGCAGAGGACTTCACCCGTCACTGTCAAAGGTTGAATGAGCCC